GCATGCACTTGCTAGAGAGAGGGGGAAAGAGAGAAAGCACTCCTTTGGTGGGGTGTGCTCATATCACATTTCCTTCTCCATCCTGTTCAAATTTAGGGGAGCCAGATCCCACATGGCATACTGTGCAGTTCAAACCCTGGCCCCAGTGACTTGAGAAACTTCAAGCTGGGTGTGTGGGCCTGCAGTGCCTAAAATCCCAAAAGGACAGACAGATGGAGAAGGATGGTAGCCATAACTATACCTCATGGGGGTGCTTTCTCTTTCTCCCTCTCTCTGTCAGGTGCACCCTCTAGCAAAACAAAAACAAAACAAAAATTCACACCATATGTGGTTGATATAATCATAGTTGTATAAAAATATTCACAGAGCTTCTACCTAGAACTACACTACAATATTGTCTTTGGTGATAGTTATAGTAAACCTTTTACTTTATTCCCCTTTTTCTATTTTCCAAACATACTTCTCATTGATCATGTATTACACTTTCCTTAATAATTATTTTATTTAACTTTATTTATTTTAATTTGACCAAAGACGGAGAGAGAGAGATTGGGAAAGTGAGAAAACAAGCTGCCAGGTCCTGGACTCCGACGGTGGTCAGCCATGTGGGGAGTCCAGAGTCCTTAACCACCACGCCACCTGCCAACCCCTTTTTTCCTAACGTTTAACAAACTTTATTAAGTAAAATATGTACCTGCACACAACTATAAGTAATGTGCCACTCTAACAATAGGGTTGTTTTCATGGTAATTTCACGTTAATTTTAATTCCTTCACAGCCGGAAATGGTGAAGTCTCCAACTGGCGGCGGCTGAAGGAAATAGCGTTAGCGTTTATTCTGCCTGAATTCTCTTGCCCCAGTTTGTTTCAGCATTAATTTTTAGATTCCTCTTTTCACTTGTTTTTCTCTTCTGATCGGTATCCCCAGTTGTTATCTATGGAGCCCCGCCTGCCGGGTACGCGGGCCCGCCTGCCGGTTACCCCGGCCCGCCCCCCGGGGGGACAGGGCCGCCCCCCCGC